CAACAACAACCCTTTCAACCTGCGTTACATCCTGGAAAACAACAAGTTATCCGGGACCAACTTTCTTGACTGGGAGATGAACCTCCGAATCGTTCTTAACTGTGAGAGGAAACTCTACATCCTCGAAACGGATCCTCCCAAGACCCCTGATGCTAATGCTCGTGCGTCCGAACTCACTTCCTTCAAGAAGTATGAGGACAACGCGCGAGATGTAAAGTGTATCATTATGGCCAGTATGACCGCGGAGCTCCAAAGGCTCCACGCGGACATGGAAGTGCGTCCTATGATACAATGCTTAAGAGACCTTTACCAGGGTCAACCCCAAAACTCAGGTATTTACGTTATCAAAGTCAATATGTTTGATATCACCTCTTGGGTGATGGATACTGGATGTGGTTCTCACATCTGTACTTCTATGCAGAACTTGCATGAATGTAGACAATTGATGGAGGGAGAGATACAACTAAAAGTCGGCAATGGCGCACTCGTCTATGCATTGGCCGTCGGAACCTATAGTTTATCTCTACCTAGTGATCTAATATTGCATTTGAGTAATTGTCTGTTTGTACCTAGTATGAGCAGAAACATCATTTCTGTATCCTGCCTTGACAAAGCAGGATTTTCATTCGTTGTAAAAGACAAAACTCTTTCTGTCTTTAGAAATGATATATTTTATGCAAGTGCAAAAATGACCAACAGTCTCTATGTCCTTGACATGGATACCACAATATATAACGTAGATGTTAAGAGAAACAAACCTAACAGTTTGAATCTCGCGTACCTTTGGCATTGTCGTTTGGGCCACATTAACGAGAAACACATATCTAAGTTACATCGTTCCGGTGTACTTGATTCATTTGACTTCCAGTCATATGATGTATGTAAATCTTGTTTACTTGGTAAAATGACAAAGGCTTCATTCACTGGTCACGGTGAAAGGGCGAGTGACTTATTGGGCCTCATACACTCCGATGTGTGTGGTCCAATTAGCATTGTAGCTAGAGGTGGTTATTCGTACTTCGTTACATTTACTGACGACCTTAGTAGATATGGATATGTGTATCTCATGAAACACAAATCGGAATGCTTTGACAAATTCAAAGAATTCAAGAACGAAGTAGAAAAACAATTAGGCAAAAGTATTAAGACCCTCCGCTCGGATCGAGGAGGTGAATACTTAAGCCTGGAGTTCGATGACTATCTGAAAGAGCATG